ACTTATGGTGGCCCTTTTCTGGGTTTTCTAAATAAAGAATACTCAGTAGTTTACTGTTCCCTTCTTCTGGGGGCATCCTGGGACTGTATAGCTTTGTCCAAGGTCACACAGCCTGGCTATTCTGGGATATACAGTGGGGAATTGAACTTCTAAGTTCTGGTTCCACAGCTAAGCACCTAACCTATTGACTTACCTAGCCAGGTAGGAAATTATTGTTGACATATATTTTAATGGTGCTGCTGGTGGTATACCTAAAATAAATAACACATGTACAAAATTATTTGTTTTTGATATTCTTGTTTTCTGCAAATAATGTAAGGCAGTAATTTCAGTGTATTTATAATTTTGTTGTAAAACCAACAACAACCCAATACTATATTTAATCCTGTTTCAAAACTTTGGCTGTTATACACATATCTTTTTGTGTAGTCATGTAAAGGTAGCATCCCATGAGTGCTAATTCCTGTTTGTAATGTTTACAAAGCCAACTTCCCTATCAGTTGTTAGACATTATTATGTCTATTATAGGATGCAGAATAATGTTTTCATAGCAAAGGGGCCCAGGATAAGGGACCAATACTTTATAAGCTATGAGTTGCTCTTGGAATAATGCCAATTCTAATATTACTATTCTGAGTGTTTGCATTGTTCCTGGGAGGTAGGTAGCATTGAGTGGGTCTTACATCTGTGAATTATTCTGTTTCTAGAAAAAGAGATGTTTGTTTTATTCAAGCCTGTCTCAAAACAAGTTACAGTATAATGTTCTTAAATAGGAACAGAGGGAGATATGCTGAGACAGTCTACCACTGGTCTAGTTAGCTCGGTATTGTTGTCCTGCAATTGCTCAGGGTTTGAGACAAAACTCTTTACTAAGTCTATTTGATGATGATGATTTTAGAACTGTATTCGTGAAGGCTTTCACGGCTGGGATCTAATGGTTTTTGTGGGATTTTCGGGCTCTCTGGCTGTATTCTGAAGGTTGTTCTTCCTGACGTTTCTCCTGTCTCTGTGGCCGGCATCTTCAGGGGACTAGAAGATGCCAGCCACAGAGACTGGTGAAACGTCAGGAAGAACAACCTTCAGAACACGGCCAGAGAGCCCGAAAAACCCACAACAACCGATTTTAGAACTGTAGAGCTGAAAGGGATCCTGTGGATCATTGAGTACAGTCCCTGTTGAGAAGGCACAGAGATGAATTGAACTCTCACCCTCTTCAGCCAGATATTTAAACCACTGAGCTATCCAGCAGATGATGAGAGTCAAACCTGGAATCACATGGTATGCAAGGCCCTTTCTCTGTTACTGAGTGATGACCCTTCTACAGCTGTTTGCCAATAATGGGTTGGTTTGTATAGAACAGAAAATCAAAATTCGGTATTGTAAGAATAAGTGGAGCCTCCCTTGGGCTTACCTCCCCGCTCCTGCCAGTCCTCTGGTGCAGTTGTCGTGAGGAGTCTATTGCTTCTGTTTCTCCTGTGTTTGGCTGTGCTGTTTGAACTTGGAAGAATACTGATTATTCTGAACTAAGATTAATGCAAACAGGACAAGTTCAATAGAGTTGCTGAGCCAGCAGCGTTTCATTCCTTGAGATTACAGGAACAAAGCCTGAGACCTAGTGATGTATTACAGGTGGACCATCCTGCAGCAACTGCAAAATGATGTGTCTGTGACACAGGCAGTGGTAAATTTAAAGGCCAGTGTTTGAGTTTGAGCAAAAGCAGAAACCGCTTTAAACAAGGTAATGGGAAAAAGACAGAAGTGCTTCTGAGCAAGGTTACGTGGCATGTCCTAAAGGTGCGAGAATAAACCTCTAAAACCTCAGAGTTTTAAAAATGCATTGAAAAAAATTATACCTGAGTCATCAAAGAACAAGGAAGAACCTAAAGCACATAAATAGGCGAAATAACATCAATTAATGAATTAGAATGAAATTTTGGGTTGTCAGGCAGGCGCCATTTCATCCCAGGTCCAAAGAGCTGCAGAATGGCCCCCTGGACCTGATTCTAGGAGTCAGAACTGGAGACCTACAGTAGCAACCTTTCACACCCCACAGTGTATGAAACTGGCTTGTTTTCACTAACTATCATTCGGATTAACTGTCATTTAATATTTAGATGATTCGTGACAGTGCAATTAATTTAAAATGGAAGTGAACATGAAGTTTCATGCAAGATAAAGGGGAGACTTGGGTGTAGGACATAGCATTATGTATGAATGCAACCTTTGCCTCGAATGCTGTTAGTCCTATAACACCACAACAGATATATATATTTTAAAAAATATGTTAATATTCTTCAGGATCACAGAAAAAGTGACTTGGCATTTGCTGTTTTTCTTATAATTTGTTTACCATTGTTCTAAATTGACATGCTAGTATTTTCCTTCATATAAGGCAATGAAACTAAGCTAGTGAAAAAAAAATAATCTTTATTTTCCATTTAGTACAATTCCCTTAGAAACTTCAAATATAAATAATTCTTGTACTGTGTTTTCTGCAGCTTGACTCTTGCATTAAATTAGATGAAAGATTGTTTGTGGAGGCAGAGCTGTTGGAATTAATTTTTTCCTCATTTTTTTATACCAATAACATTTATATTTCACGTTTGATCTTTCTTGAATGACCTTCAAACATTCCTGTCTTAAAACTTTGACTCAACACTCCTTGTTGAGATAAAAATATGTTTTGATACTGGAAAAAATGTCTGTTCTGAGATTGCTTGTCTCTGTGTGTGGTGTGTATTGGCGATGGAATGTAGCGGCAAAAATAAATATGAACTTTCCTGCATTATGATCCTTTCTTTCCATTTTTAGCATCTTTTGGAACCAGCTTGTACTGATGGCTAGCCTGTGATAAGTACTGGTACTCGCGTGGAACTTGTTTTCATGTTTATTTATGCCTATTTCACATCATCTGTCATCTGCAATGTGCCTTTTGCATAGGGCAGACTAAATATTTGGATTTAAAAAAATTGAAAAAGAGAACCAGTTTAAAAGGTTTTGTTGAAGAACATCCTCTTATGCAGTAGTTGCATGGCTATAATCCAAGGGAAAATATAGTCTTAACAGACACCAGTGACTTGGTGCCCTTCTGATCATTGGGCTTTAACTCACATCAACCCTGTCAGCATGGCCAGTGGTCAGAAAGGATAGGAGTTGGAGTCAGAAGTATCTAGAGTGCAGGACTGGTTTAGCAACATAGATCCTAATACTTCCTTCCTCAAACTAATGTCCTTGGGGTTCTTTCCTGTCATCCTAAGCCAGCATTGCTACTGGTCCCATCACCTCCTGGCAAATAGACGGGGAAGATGTGGAGGCAGTGACAGATTTTACCTTCTTAGGCTCCATGATCCCTGCAGATGGAGACAGCAGCCACGAAATTAAAAGACGCCTGCTTCTTGGGAGGAAAGTGATGACAAATCTCGACAGCATCTTAAAAAGCAGAGACATCACCTTGCCAACAAAAGTCTGAATAGTCAAAGCTATGGTTTTTCCTGTAGTGATGTATGGAAGTGAGAGCTGGACCATAAAGAAAGCTGACCGCCGAAGAATTGATGCTTTTGAATTGTGGTGCTGGAGGAGACTCTTGAGAATCCCCTGGACTGCAAAGAGAATAAATCTATCCATTCTGAAGGAAATCAACCCTGAGTGCTCACTGGAAGGACAGATCCTGAAGCTGAGGCTCCAATACTTTGGCCATCTTATGAGAAGAGAAGACTCCCTGGAAAAGACTCTGATGTTGGGAAAGTGTGACGGCAAGAGGAGAAGGGGCGGACAGAGGATGAGATGGTTGGACAGTGTCACTGAAACTACCAAAATGAATTTGATCCAACTCCGGGAGGCAGTGGAAGACAGAAGGGCCTGGCGTACTCTGGTCCATGGGATCATGAAGAGTCGGACACGACTAAACGACTAAACAACAACAACAACAACCCAGGAATTATGTGAGTTATATCCTAATACCTCTAAATGAGGCCAGAGTGAGAGAGGCGGAATTGTTCTGTGGTACCTTCTTGTGAAACTCATGTGTAGTTTTGCCATCAGATGAGGTATGTCCATTCTTGGTAGTGAAAGATGGCAAATGGAATGTGAAGAAATTGCCACATGGATTAGCTCCTTTTATCAAAAGGAAGGTGATGGTGTACATGTGAGCTCTTTGTGTTCATCAGAGTGAATGGGAAAGTGCTGGATGATATTGTTTAACTTTTAAATTAAACACATCTCTGTGAAGTATTTTTGTAATCTCCCTGTTTTATATTTTTTAACAATAATTTAAGGATTCTCATAAGGGTAATATGAAATTGTGTGATATAGTACAGGTAGACAAAATGTTAAACTAGGACTTAAATCCAATCTTAGCCATAGGAACTGGCTGAGGGGTAGAAATGGCAGACCACTTCTGGAAAATTGTATATTAAAAGCCAAATAGGGTATATGTTGGCAGCAATCTGATGGCTTACAAGAACAGAAAATATATCCATGTACTTTGGGTCCCTTGTTGAGAGAAATGAGGCATATAAATGAAACGAATAATAATAATAATACTTTCTCTTAAATTTGCTGATTGTTAGATTTTGTTTCTGCTTTATTGTTTATTTATTAGGGTTATATATATTCCTTTTGGTTACAATGTGTAGTTCAGTTTTAAACATAAGCTGCATTGTAAACCTTTTTAATTGAAGGAGGTGTGATATAATATTTTAGTAAATCAGTAAAATTAGCTTATATTTATTTTAATCTTATGTTGCCTTCCTCCAGAAACTGGAACCCAAGGCATCTTATAATAAATATTTTTAAATGATGCACTTAAAAAAATAACTAGTACAAATGGAAAAATTAAAATATTAAAACATAATGAAATTATTTGTTAAATTAAAAAAGGGTTCAGCAAAAACTACTTAATGCAATAAAAACCATTGCAGTGGAAACCATAATTGTTTCTAAACATTTCTTGAGACTTTTATTATTAGTTCCTTGAATAAGCCTTTGTGTTTTATTTGCAGATAACAGAATTTACATGCTTCAGTCTAATGTGGTAAAGCAGTGTACCTTCCAGCAAACAACATGATGTCAAATAGAAATAATCTCTCTTACCAGAGTCTTGGAACAGGTATGATATGTGTTATTTATATTTATAAGAATGTGTCCTTAGTATTTAATGCTTCTAGTACTTTCCAAAACATTTTGCCCAGGTTTATGGGATAATTCAAGTTACTTTACTGATATTCCCAAGATCAGCCAGTGCAAATATACAAAAAAAAGTACATTCTGCAGTGTCCACAGGAGCTTGCTCTTGAGTAAAGGAGAATGCAGCCTCTGTAGCTCTAGTATCTGAATCTACTTTATGCAATAATAAACTTTATTTTGTTCTTCTGACAGTTAAATAATGCTGAGTTTCCAGTTATCTGCTGTTTTCAGAAAATAGACAAGTTGTATTTCAGTGTAGATTTAATCAAGAAAACCTTGCATATATACAGATGAACCAGTGAAAGTTAATCAATTTAAACTCTGGATGACCTCCAGCTGGAGAATGTTCTTCTTGCACCTATGAAAACAAACTGTTTCATTTGTAGTAATTTGAAAATGCCAGTAAAACTTCTTCAGATGTCATCCTTCAGGAAAAGCACCCAAAAGCAAAAGTAGCTTTAAAATCCAGTGCTACAGGTACTCATTTGAACTAGCTGATGATGGCAGATGATTCATGACTGGTTCTCCTAAAGTTTTCTTTGAAGTTTAAAGATACTTGCGAAGAGCTAAATAGGCTCAGGCTTATAGTTGCTGAATGTGTGCTTGTGCAGTTTAGATCAGAAAAAATGTATGAGAAAAAAAGAATTAATTCTCTCTTGGAAGTATTGGAAGCTGACTGGACAGCTCAGTGGTTTAGGTATCTGGCTCTGGAGCCAGAAGTTTGGAGTTTGATTCCTCATGGTGCCCCCTGTGAGAAGAGCCAGTTTGTGTGGCCTTGAGCAAGCGGCACAGTCCCAGCATGCCCATAGAAGATGACCAAAACGAGTCACCATAACCCAGAAATGACTTGATGCCTCATTATTATTAAGTATTGGAAGATCTGATCACAGTTCTTTGTGATCTGTCAATCTAGTTTAGCCTAATTAAACAACGGAAGGAAAAGATAAGCAAAGAACACACAGAATATGCCATCCTAATTGAGAGACATATACCACAAACTCAAGTCTAATATACCAATGTTTGTTCCTCAGTGTGAGAGGAACTAACAAAGTTAGTTGTAAAGTCAGGTTAGAGCAAAGATCTGACTAATATAGACATCAGTCTTGATCAAAATCTGTTCAGAATCCCTCCAATGTGTTTGGTAAGGGCATCAGCAGAGAGAAAAGAGGAACTAACAAAGTTAGTTGCAAAGTCAGGTTAGAGCAAAGATCTGATTAATATAGACATCAGTCTTGATCAAAAATCTGTTCAGAATCCCTCCAGTGTGTTTGGTAAGGGCATCAGCAGAGAGAAGAATCATGACCACCAGCTACAGCCCTGGTGTGACTCCCTCTATTGGTAATTCTTTCAAGCAGTACTTAGTTTGCCTTAGTGTTACGGGGCCTGCACACTAATGCATATATGAGCAGATTCCTGTTTCACATAAATTCAGAAAGTAGAGTTGCTGGGTGGGAGAGTAGCCAGCTTGTTGATTAGTTAGCAGGTGCAATCTTATTGCTGTTATCAGTTTCCCACATTCCTTCAGTAGATTGTAGGAGGTCATCCAAAGAGTCATCATTTAGGGATTGAAATACCTTGCGATAATATTTGTAGATGTTAATGCTGTTGTTAATATGTTAATAAATCAATTCTGTGTTATGGCAACTCTTGAGGGAGGAAAAAAGTCTTCCTAATAACTTACCAGCCCAAGAACATGACATACTTGGTCGAGTCACTCCATCTCATATTAGATCTTACTCTTTTGCTGCTCCCTTCAACTTTTTCTTGTATTATTGTCCTTTCCAGTGAGTCTTGAGGGTCGTTTTATACACAGAAGGCACCGCTGCTTTTCCCTGCCTTTTGTGAAGCCATAAGGCTTAGCAAAGACGAAGGAAAGGCTCCCTTCGGGTAAAGCAGCCATGAAAGGGCTGCACAATCGCAACCCTTTGATCCTGAAGCCTTTTCATGGCTGCTTTCCTAAGATCCACAGGGCTTAGGAAGTGGGTAAAGTAGACATGAAAGGGCTTCAGGATTGTACAGCCCTTTCATCGCTGCTTTACGCGAAGGGAGCCTTCCCTTCCTTGTTGCCACAAAAGGCAAGGAAAAGTGACAGTTACTTTGACAAGCCACTTTGAAGCCACAGGGCTTAGCAAAAAAGCCCTGTGGCTTCACAAAAGGCAAGGAAAAGCAGCGGTCAAGGGGAGCCCTTTGATCCCTGCTTTTCCCTTCCTTTTGCTAAGTTCCGTGACTTAGCAAAATGAATGGAAAAGCAGGGATCAAATTTTCTAATTTGGGGTTAGAAAAGGGGGGTCATCTTATACATTGGGTCATCTTATAAACGGAAAAATATGGTAATCAGAGTCTGATCTCAGTCCTGTATATCTGTCCCGACTGTCTTACTGCAGCTGTGTAATCGTAACCATAGAGAATGCTTCACAGCCTACCATCTTTTTTACAGATAAGTGGAAAATTTCCCATTTCAAGGAACTTTGCAGTTCATGTTTTGCAAATTTGCAGTCTGTGGTTGGCATGTAACAGGGCAGTGGGTGTTTGGTTGAAGACTGCTATGATTCTGATGGTCCAGATGGGATGCCTGTTTATTTCTGTGTGCTATAAGAATCCATGAAAGGTTGTGTGGTGAAAATCCTTGAACTAGAATGCTCAGTTGCAGATATCAACTCTAGCAACTAAGTTATTGTATCTGTTGGGTGGAGTAATAAAAGGTTCTTGCCAGTGCATAATATTTTCCATGTGCTTCTCCTCCCTAGTGCATATTAGTAGTCCTTTGCATCACCACTGATAAATCTAAAATGTGCTCACTCTTCCAGAAGGAAAAAAAAGTGCAATTTTTTAAATTAAATGCTTGCAAATTTGGGTCCTTATCTCTTCTTGAAAAGATAATGTTCTTTTGGAAGTAAGCATGCAGAAATTAAACACGTGGACACCCAGCGCCCTAAAAATGTGTCAAAGCTTTATTATTCTAGTGATAGAATGATTTCTAGAATTGGGAGCCCTGCTCATTCTTCTTACAGGATGTAAATATGGACACTTCTGTTTCTCTCAGTCATTTAGTTTCTGGCCCTACGAACTGTTTTTGGCAGTTCAAAGAGGGCCATGTTTCCTCTGCTGTGCCATTGGAAATCAGCCTCAAGCTTCAGACTACTTCGAGCTGACAGCATACCAGACCATACGACTTCAGTGCCATACCCACTTGCCTGAGATTAAGCTTCACTGAACTCAGTGAATTTTTCCCTGAATTGACATGACCGGTATTCCACCATCGAGCATGTTTTAAAATGTTATTTTAAAATCATTCTCATGACTTTTATCCAGATTCCTAGTGTGGTGCTATATACCAGTAGGCAAGCCCCATGATTTCAGTGACAACCCCTTCCTGCCTAGTCAGTGTGCTGGGCTCATAGCCTCAGTCTTATATACCTCCTAGGATTGTTTGAAGCTGTGTAAATCAGCTCAGTGTTTCCAGATTCTATTTTTTGAAGCAGCTGCTGCCATGCCTAATAAAGGCACAATTGAGCTGCATTCTTTTTTTTTGCTACACCACTTATTAGACATGATATCCTGTGAGCATGAGAAACTTTGAAAACTTATGTACATCTTGGCAGGCAGGCAGGCAGGCAGAAAATAAAATGCTTTTTCATGGCAGTGTTTGCTTGGAAGAATGTTCATAGCCTTTTGCTCAAAGTCAACTTCCTAGCTTTTGGGCATGACCTGCTGAAAGACCATGGGTCTTTGGAACAGACACACATGTACATTGTGAACAACTCTGTGTGACTTGAATGCAGGGTATTTTTTTCCACATTAATTCCATGTACAGCTGTATTTTATTGTGGGGCACAATGGATGTGAAAATTGGGGAAGATGATACAGTGTGGTTTGATCAATGAAGATACTGTGGGTTAAACTGGTTTGTAATTACTCTGTAAGCCAGTTCAGGCCACCAGCTCTTCCCTAATGCTACCTTTATTCAATTTTAGGTTGATGCCTAAGAGAGGAATTTATTGCCCACCTAGGAAATTACAATTGATGAATCCTGTGTTGCAGACCTGATGTATATTTTCTTTCCACTGATCTACTTGCCCGCTTGGATTCCTTGCTTATAAGATGGTTATTTGAAATTTCTTGGGAACATCTTTGCTGAAATTGGTCATAACTACTGGTGTATATTCGTAATCTCTGGAAAGTGGAAATGAAGTTACAAATACTAAACATTTGTTGTTGTGACCCTACTACGGGTTAAAAAGTAACCAATTCATTTGTTAACACTTCTCTTTTTCTTTCTCCCTCTTCCCCCCCCCCCCTTTTCCTTTCAGACTCCAATAAACTGTTGGAAGAGTACAGTCACTTGCAAGGCCAGATGGAATTACAAAATACCAGTTTAGGAAAGGAGATGGTGATGAATTCTCTTGAAAATGATCTCCAGGATATAATGGACCGGCTGAACCAGAAGAAATATTCATCAAGTCTGAAATTGAAAACAAATGGTGACTACCCTGGTTCTTATTTAACACTCTCACAGCCTCTGTCACCACCGAGGTCCAGCCCTGCGTCCAGTGTTAAAAGTGTGTCATCTGTTACCAAAATTCAAGGAAATAAACCGTTAGCTTGTGAGAGCTCTTATCTTTCAGAGAAGAATGTTGCTGCAAAGCATATGGGCTCCATTTCAGCCACATCTCCATTCTTAAGTGGGTACAGTTTAGGAAGGCGGGAATTCGATATTTATGCTACGAGAGAAAATGAAAAACATTTTGAACATCTGGATAAGTCTCCCTATTCAAAGTACAGTCAGAAGAATAAATCTCACGATAATGTCTACTTCCCAGGAGGTCTGGATGGGCGGAAAAACTCTGGATCTCTTCTTGCGATGTGGAATGGAAGCTCAGGGAATGAGGTCATGTGTTCACCAATCAGCAGCTCTGGCGCCGCCAGTATGCCCTCCAGTCCAAAGCAAGGCAGGAGAGTGAACATGCATGATCTCTTGTCACTTCAATCAAGGGTAGCTAAGCAGAAGGACCCAACAATGGAAACTCTAGGGTCTAGAACCAGGAAGTATTCTGGTAGTTCATTGAGCCACATGGGGGTTTATAGTCGTTCGTTACCTAGGCTTTACAAATCGACGGAAAGCCAGCTCATGGCACTAAGTTTGCCCCCAAGAAGCTCCCTTGGGAATTCCAAAAGAAAAAAGACTCTGGAAAAAGATCTTCTACCTCAAAGTACGCTGGATGCTGACAATTACCTTAATTGTTCTTCTTACACCTCAGGGGTTTCACCGTATACAAACCTTGCATCTGAAAGTCATTCCTATGTGAATTCTACTCTCAGTGTTCCTGCAAGCCCTCGTATAGCTCGGAAAATGCTTCTGGCTTCTTCTTCTTCTTCATATGCATCTGATGACTTTGATAGAGTCTCAGGGACCAGCCCCAGTAATTCTTTTATTCCTGTAGACTCTGAGAGAGCATTTCCTGTCAGAAGGAAGATTTCTAACAGTTCCATGGAGTTTGATGAAGCAGAGCTGGAAAACGTGAGGCAGGCGCCTTCTGTTCGGGAGAGGAAGAATAGCATTAGTTCTGTCTCTGGAAGTGATGACCTAATGGACTACCACAGGAGGCAGAGAGAAGAAAGGCTTAAAGAGCAGGAAATGGAGCGATTGGTAATTCTTTTATCCCATTAACATTTAACAACGTTTGCTACTTTTTTGTGTTCAAGTTTTTTTGTGTTAAAACTACTAATGGTTATTGATGTGGTTACCATGTTCCTTCTAAGTGTCTGGAAGGAAAATATTTATTATGTCAGTATCTAAAGTTAATTGTTTGTATAGTATGCTGTCTTAATATTAGGGCAGGGTAATAATACCATCCATACGGTGTAGGAAATGGATAGAAATTACAGCGGGTACATCCTTTGCATTCTTCCAAAATGACCAGATATTTAAAAGCCACAAATTATATATTCTAAAAATCCAGTACTTAAAGAAACAAAAAAAAAGTTGATGTCATTATTTTGTGGCAGCTGGATAAGTAAGCCCATGTCTCCAGTCTAAGCTGGTTGAGGGCACATTTCTATTCGTTTTGCTGAAAGAGACAGATCTGATGATTCTGTGATGACACATGCCAGATTGTGCAACCAAAGCATATTTCCATTTTCGGGTCAGATGTATTTATTTATTTGAAAAGTATATTATCATCTAGAAACGCTTTCTGGAGATCTTAAAATATGGCCTCATTTTATTCCCTTTCAACTCATATCATGTGCCTTGTGGCGCAGTGGTTTAAACTTCTGTACTGCAGCTAAAACTGTGCTCACAACCTGGGGTTCAATCCCAGGTAGCCGGCTCAAGGTTGACTCAGCCTTCTATCCTTCCGAGGTCGGTAAAATGAGTACCCAGCTCGCAGGGGGCAGCAATGTGTAGCCTGCATAATTAAATTGTAAACTGCTCAGAGAGTGCCTGAAGCACTATGGGGTGGTATATAATCAGCACACTTTGCTTTTGCTTTGCATGTTTCCATCATCTATGATGTCCAGCTCATTCTTAGAATTCTGAGTTAGGGTGTTTATCAAACTCATGATGTACCATTGTGGGTCTCCTCTCCAAAAACGAAAAGAGGAGAAGGAAAAGAGATACGAAAAGAAGAATACACCAATCTGTTAATTTATCTGTATTCAGTTGTTTCTGTGTTTTCATTTGTAAATTTCTTTTACAATTGGATTAAGACTACTTTTCCAGTTTTTTTTCAAAAAGCATTGTAGTAGAAATGCTTCTGAGAGAATAGGTAACTTTGGGGCCCTGGAAGCTGAGAACATCTCCTAAAAGGGCCATAGCCACAAAAAGGTTGATAATGGCTACACTAGTCCACTGATACAAAGTGAAGACATTTTTTGGCTATCACAGAGAAGCAGATGGCACTTTTCCTTAAGTCAAGGTACCTAGTAGTGAAGGTCAGCCATGTTAATTTGATACCTGAGGCACCACCCCTTTTATCTAGCAGTATATACACATTTATACTTTTTTTTAACAAAGACATATATGTTTGCTGTCCTTTCACAACCCAAACTGAGCTTACTTCGGGTGGCTGCCTTCCTGTGTCTTTCAGTAGAGCTGCCTTTGCTGGGCAATGGTGATTAAGGTAATAAAACTGGTAGAAATCATAAAGGTTGCATCCACATTTAATTATATTTGCAATAGATTCATTGAAACGAGGGCTGAACGAAGTCTAAATTAAGTGTCATTTATTTCATTGGGTCGAGTCAAAGTATGACTAATTCTAGACTCTAGATTTATAACCACCTCAGACCTTGGTGTTGAAGGGAAGAATATAAATGAAATAGATAAAATATTTGTAGGTGTTCCTAGAAGCGCTGGAAGATTCTGCTACTGCTTGGGATGTGCTAATGAAAACCCGATTCATGCATTCCAACTTAGGGCTAGAGTTAAATTCACATTTCATGCCGAGGAGGTGGGGATGCACAGAAGCCTTTCATGTCATGTGCTTGACAGCACTAGAGAACTTTTTGCATTGAGCAGGAAGGTGAAAAAGATTCTGCCATATCAATATTCCTGATTAAGGGAATCTTATGTCACTGCCTTCAGCTAGATGCATTTGCAGAGTCCTCTCCATTAATTCCTATCTGTTGTACAAAGGGTGAACTGTAATTATGCGGCATCAAGCTGAGGTCAACTTATGGCAACAGGTACAGAGTGGTCAGAAGTGGGTCATCACGTGCTTCTTCTCAGGGCACCCTGGGGTTGTGTAGCTTGCCCAAGGCTACACAGAATGGCTCTTCTCTTGGGATTGGTGTTTTTTTTGAACATTTGTGTTCTGCCCTGGATTTTATGGATCTGAGTAGAGTATAGCTCACACTCTCACTCTCTCTCCCCCCCATGTCTATTTTTTTTCTATTTTCCTTTCGTTTTGGGGGCATGCACAGAGGGATCAAGCTTCTAACCTCTGGCTCTGCACCTAACTCCCTGGGCTATCCAACCACCTACACAGCTGCTTAGAAACTAAACTTTTTTTGGTTATCGAAAAGCGTTGTGTAGTTTGAGCCGGGCTCCTCTTAGATGTGAAAGATAGCACTCCAACTGACCAAGCTTCAAAATTCCTTCCCCCCAAAAAAGTTCACATACATATGTTCATCACTTGTAGTATCAGGTGATCATGAGTTGAACGTGTAAATGAGCTGTCAGTGCCACACACAGATAAAATGCAGTTCACGTATGCAGCTATAAGCCATAAAGCCCAGAGCTACTAAATGGTGAGAAACCAAATCATGCATTTTGAACCATTAGCCTTAGTCTTTTGTAAACCTCTTTTGAATTTAAAACTATCAAGAAGCATTGTGTTGATTCTGAGTACCATCTGCTTAAAGAAAGGAATAGGAATCACCAGAGGAGCATGTTTAAGAAGCAGAGCAAGATGCCAGCGAAGCACACCAGGTGATCAGTAACCTCAAGTAAGAAGACATAATTAGGACAGTGTCAGAATTGCTGATTGGTGCATACAGAGCTAAACACCCCAATTTCCTCCCCAACCCCTTAGTAATCTTCATCCTGTAATTGGATGATAAGCTTGTTGGTTTTGCAGCAGGTAAAACAGTAACAGACTGAATGTTTACATATGAAGGAATTTGGTCCACTAATTTATTTTTTTCTCCCATTTTTAGTTTAGCATTCAGCAAGGCTTCAAGTCTTTCAAGCTAGCCAGAGAGATGATTGGACATTTACGTGTAGCCTGCATGATAAAAGGAGTTGGAGGCATGAAAAACGAAAATAACTGTCCAACACTGCCCTGGAAGGAAGTGTGTGTGTTTATAGGACAGATTCCTTCCCTCCTTGGCTTGGTGTTTCTTTTCAAAAGGTCAACGCCTCTGCAGTTCTGCTGTCCTTCAAAGAAGCCTTTTGATATTGTGCTTTGCGATTGCAGGCTACGATGCACGGCCCACTCTTCGTGCCAGTCAAAGTGGTGTGAATGAAAAGAGCAAAATGCAGTTGCAGGCTATTCCCAGTACAACTGCAGTCTTCACATCTATTTAGTGGAGAGTACTGTATATGCCATTGATGTCAGTATGACATCAATGGGCATAAATTAAATATAAATTAAATAAATAAAAATGACTTGTTTCTGAATAGGCATGCATAGAGTTATTCTGCATGTCACTACTTCTGACATGGTATCATTAATTTTTTCAGAAAGATTGTTTCAATAAGCCTGCACTTGTCTCAGACGACAGTCATTTGTTCTCCTGAAAACAAATTCAAACTTGTAACATTTACAGAAATTTTATAGTGAAGAGCTGGAGGAGTATTTTCAGGGGTTAGGCAGATGTTGAAATTTGGAGAAATGTTGAGTTTAATCCAGTGCTTACTCTCTTATATTAATTTAGTCCTTAAAGACTACAGTCCATTACACGCTTGCTTAGGAAACAATCCCACTGAACTGTTATGTCATAGTAAGCATGAACAACATTATGCTGAAATAAGGTGTGTTATGTTTAACGAAGCACATAAAATGATGCTTTTCACCAATTTGTGAACTTCAAACCATTTTTATAGGCTGCTAACAGCATGATTTAAAAACAACAGCATTGCTGTTCATTGCATGTACATATACAGATGCACATATGCACACTCACATAGTTCTGGATCTTCTGTAGCTATAGAAGCAATGCCTCCAATTAATAGATCCAGTAGATTTATCAGAAGACGACGACTTTGGGCTGGAAAACCTTAGGCTATCATGAATCTGTTCATCCTAAAAGTGACACAGGCTTTTTGTAGTTTTAATCAATAGATGGCACTGTTCCACATCTTTAGTTCCTCCATGAAATTCTGCTATCTTGTCTTCTTGTTTTGTTTTCTCTTGTGTTGTTTGCTTGTCTTGAGGAAGTCATGAATATCGTGGATCTGTGCCAGAAGCCTCTGCCATTAGTGTAATCTCTGTCCCTCTAAGCTTTCTCTTGTGTTGTTTGCTTGTCTTGAAGTCATGAAAATCGTGGATCTGTGCCAGAAGCCTATGCCATTAGTGTAATCTCTGTCCCTCTAAGTGAATATTATGCCTTAGAATAACATGTCAGTTTCACAAACAAGTTTATATATGTTGGTAGCCCATCGAAATGTGTGCCAGTTTGCCTTCTCACACAATGCCAGGCTCATAACCTAGGGGCTTGCCATGATTGCTGTCTGATCTGCCTCACAGGGTTGTTGTGAGGGTAAAGTAGTGAGAAGAACCATACACGCTAACTTTGAACTCGCTGGAGTTTATAAATGTAACTAACAAATAAAAATAAATATGGCAGAGTTGTCATAAGCTCAACCCCAAACAGCACAAATTGAAGGCTAGCAAGCAAATGGTTTTTCTTGCTTCTTGAAGTGTGAATATATAACAAACAGATGTAAATCAAGAATGCAGATGATCCTCTCATTTTCATAGTGTGATGAAGTACCGCAGAATGATTCTCTTGAGAAACGTTTGGACATGCAGACATAAAATATGGATACCTAGTTTCTCCCAGTTTTATAATTTTATTTCTAACCTGTCATTAGCAAGCTGGAGATGCTTTGTGTCTGTTTTAATTGCTGTTTAGTCACATATCACATGTGGTGATCCTGACAGGTTATTCAATGTCTATGAGATATATAAGGAGTGGTTTTAG